CATTCCACGTATTTGACCACCCATCTGCCCCTTCTCTTTTAAAGTCTCCAGTTTTTGCTTACCCAAATCGGTGAAAGACTGATCAGCCTTTGAGATTACCACTCTCCTTGTTCCACGTAGGGCCTCTTCTTCTACCTTCTCATCCCCTTCCTTGCGAGCCTCCCTCCATAGTGTAGCTTCTATGGAGGAGGCCAGCCAAACTGAGTTGAAGCAACCTTCCACGCTTATCTCCACTTTTCTGGGTATATCTTCTGGTTTCACTCCGTTCAATAGGAGAGCTGCTGATCGAAGGTCCCCCCAAAAAGCTCTGGCCAGCTTACCACCACATAACAGTGCAATGGATGCGGCCACTTCCTGTTTCCACAAATGAAAGGGCAGACCAAGAACTTGTATCACCACCCCATCCTCAGTGAAGAACTCTTTAGAGTTAGATGAAAAGTTCCACTTAGATATTGTAATCACACCATAATCAGATTGAAAACTGATAGCTGAGAGCTCTAACTTATCTTCAGTCAGATCAAGCACAGCTTTACTGTTCTCAAAAGGTGTTAGAATAAACTTCCCTTTTAACTTCAGCTGTAATACGAGCAGGTCTGCAACTCTCCTCCAGTTGCTAACCGGATTTTAACTTGAACCACATATTTATCTTCCCACTCTTCTCTCCTGGAATAGCCAACCAGCCTGTTCTGTCCAAAGGCTAGTAGCTCTTGGACATGGTCTTCATCTTCAGTTGAGAGTTTGATGGTTTTACCATTCTCCTTCAGTAGATCCAATCACAAGGTTTCCATGTAGTGATGAAACTCTTCCAGTATTCCATTGATTTTCTTCCATCCAAGACCCTGTCTACCTTCAAGAAAGCAGACTAGTTGCCTCCGTCCTTTCCCGAAGAATTCAGAGAGAGCTAAGTAACCCCCTTTACAGTTTCTTCTGCATTCTACAACATACCTCTTCCCTTCTTGAGTTCTCAATTCCTTCCAGTTTCTTTGTTTACCTTTGAGGCATGCTTCATTCACATACTCCCTGAACCAATTAATCACCTCCATACCTTGCAGCAGCACTGTGGCCTTCTTCCCTTCCCTAATCTTCAAGCTTGCCCCACTTTTGTTTTTCAGCTCTTCAAGCAGAAACTCCTTGGCTTCGAACTTCAGTATTCTCCTCCACCGTCCTGCAGCCACAAATCCATCCCCCCTCTTCACCAAATCCATATTTCTCCCTAACTCTTCCGACCACTTCGAGGGGGTTCACAGGAATATCGGTCTCATATGAATATCTGTTAGGCTCTGTACAGACTGCTTATGATAAGATTTTTTCTTAATAAAAGAGATACACACATACATGCACAACGATTCAGAGCCATGGTTTTTAGATCTACATGCATGTCTATAGACAATAGAACATTTCAGTTCAAATGGTTGGCATTGATGGTCAATATCTTTGGGACCACAAACTACATCAGTAAATGATGAAATTTCAACATAGATTTTTGAGAAATAATGACAATATTTGTTCTTAATAACAGATAAACACATACATGCACAAGGATTCAGAGCCATGATTTTTAGATCTACATGCACACCTTTTCTTTTGATGAATGAGTGAAAATGGTTGCTTTGATGGTCAAGTCAATTTCTGAAAGCTTCAGTACGTATGTATTTAGGTATGGTTAAAATGGTACTTAAAATGTTTTTTTTTTATCAATGAGTATTTAAAATGTTTAGAAACAAAAAAAAAATTATTAAGTAATATAATTTTGAATAATCAACTTTACTTGGAATCCTTTGGATGTAATATATACTTGGACTACTTTTGGCAATGAATTAAGAGATTGATGTGCTAATGGAGCATGTGCAAGGATCAGACTGTAGACTGACAGATGTCAAGTTTACAGAAATTGGTTGGTGTGGACTTTTGGAAGAAAGTGGCTTTACTAGTAGAAGATTAAGAGAAATAGATTAATTTTTTGGTTTTTTAGCTGGTAATGTATTCTTGATTTCTTCTTTTTGACTTGGAACCTGACTGTTCCTTGCACTCCTTTCTGGGGATTTGTTGCTTTAATTTCTCATATTTTCATTTTTTAAATAAGCTATCTTTTCATTTGTCAAAAATGAGGCTTTTTGAGCTGTTTAAGATAAGTCTTTTGGAATAGAGTATTTTCACTTTCAGCTTCTTCCTGGAATGTTGGGATTTTGTGGGCAATGTGGTAAAAAACTGTTTGAGAATCTTGGAGAGAGTGGTTAAACATAGGTTTTATTGAAATATTTGCAATTATTTTCCAAAAAATGCTTAACTTTGTCCTAGGTATTTTTGGTCCTAAAAGTTCGATTGTGGCATTTAAGGAGTCATTCACATGACTCCTAAATGCTGGCTTCCTTATTCCTCTTTCATGGACTCATATTTTAGATATATGCAAATGCTGCATTATATCTGATTCTGAATAAGTGAAGTCTGGTGAAGGGGCTAATATGCAGAACTTGTTTTTTTATCAGCATTTGGGAAATAGATTTGGAGAAAGCATATAATCATTTATGTTCGAAGTGTCTTATGGAGTAGACATGCTAGTGGATGATTTTTTCTGTTCACAGTAACCAAGTGTGTTACACATGCAAGTACTTAGGATTGTTTCCTTTCAAATTAACACTATCGTTACCTTATTCATTGAAAAACAAAAGTGAAGCTGCCTGAGGAAGGAATGGATAAATGTCCCTCCTTTTGGTCTGTTCATTTTCCCCTATCTTTTATGAATCCAATGAGAACAGGATCAGCACTGTCAAGGAGAACTTTAAATGTATATCTGGCTTCTCTCTTTGGTGTTCTATTTTGGAATTGAAGTAGATTCTGAAGTGGTTATTAAGTTTCTGCAAGATGGAGTTCTATCAAGTTAAAAGAGTTTGGCATAATCTGATTCCCTTAATGGAAGTGGTATCATGGTATATTTGTAATAGGCATGGAGAAGACATGGCATTTGTTCCATAATTGTAGGGTTGTAGAGTTCATGTGGTCTTCTATGCCTTTTTCCTTGGTAGTAAGAACAAACGATTTTTTTGGAGTACCATGCCTTTTACAATCTGTTGGGATTATTTGAAAGTGGAGAAGTGGGGGAATATTTGGAGTTAAAAGTGGAAATAAGAGAAGATTGGCTGCAGATACCAGAACACCCATCATGGAGTGGCTATTGGAACGCCTGGAATTTGAAAATGAAGATCAATCTTTATTTGGTCAATACTGCTATGTCTTTTCTCATATGTAAAGTGTTGATTTATTTTTGGTACACCTTATTTTCTTAACTTTGTTCTTTTGTTTGGCAAAATTTTTTCTTAATACTTGTATTAGGGTCCACTGTATGCCCTTCACTATTAGACTCGGTAATTTAAAAGGTGTGCCTGAGGTGCGCCTAGGTGCATAGGTGAGGCGCATTTTAGGGTAGGCACCTCGCCTAGGTCCTAGGTGCAGCACTTTTAAAAGGCGTATGCCTGGTGCACCTTGCGCCTTGGCCCAAGCGTGTGCCTTTTGAAAATTGTACATTTTCTTTTTGCTTTTTTTGAACCTAGTGACTAGGTCAGGGGCATAGCCCTTGGATCCCTGACCACGCCCCTGGAGGCAAATCCAAACAAGTCCATGTTAGGGTCTTAAATTCTTAATTCTCACACAAAAAGGCAATTAAGATATCTTCTTAAAAGGCAATTAAAATTATAAAATTATTAATTTTTTTGTGTGAGAATTAAGAATTTAAGACCATAACATGGACTTGTTTGGGCTTGCCTTGAGGGGTGTGGCACAAAGGCGACTTGTAAAATCAGGAGTGTAATATGTTTTACATCACATTAGCTAGTTGAAGTAATGCAATTGAGGAAAAAAAGAAATTGTGGGCTTTACATGCTTGAAAATGTTTTATATGTTTGATTTTATTTTTAAATTTTCATTTGAATATGCTTTACATGTTATGTTTATGTATTTTAATTTTAGATAATAGGTTTTTTAAACCATTAATTTTAAAATTTAGGTTTATAATTCTTATTAATATTATGTTTAATATTTTGATTTTTTTTTTGCATATTTTTTTTTTATTTTTTAGCATTTTCTTTTGTATTTTGCACCTTGCTTCAAAAAGGCGCGCACCTTGCCTTGCTCCTTGCTCTTTTAAAACACTGATTAGACCTTAAGGTTTTTTCTTTCTTTTACTTGTCTTTGGATGTGTTGATCTTCTTTGATTGATTTCTACACTCCCATATGAGAGACCCGTATTACTTATCTGATTTTTTTACTCCCATTATTGTGAAGGGTACCTTTGTGGATGTTTTAAAAGGTGTAGTTTGCGTGATCATTGATTTACTAGGACTTGGAAGAGTTCTGTGTCTGGACTTGGGTATAAGATCTATGGGTTGCTAAGTACCTCGGTTTTCTTGTTGGAGCTACTCCAGAGGTTGAGTGCTTCAAGCTGGGCTTGCTGCTGTTGGCCCCAATTTTACTGGCCTTGGGCCTCAGTATGCATCTTTAATGGATATGCATTTGGCATTTCTGGAAATAGACTTTTAGATCCATGGGCTCAACTTCATCATTTCCCCAAAATTTTCCCTCTCTATCAAAGCAACAATTAAGGAAATGATCTCTCCACTTCTCTGCTTCTATCTCATTTTTTTTTTATCAATTCTTCTTCTATACCATTTAGTCACTGTCAGACACATGTTACATTTTTTTTCTTATTTTTCTATTTGAAAGTATTATTTTAAGTTATTAATTTGTTTTTGTTACATCTTGGTTTGATCCATCTTGATTGGGTAGCTATATCATAAATTTTCAGAAACTATTTTGATGGACACTAAGGTTTTTTTATTTTTTTTTAAAGCTTCCTATCAATTGATTGTGGGTAAAAATATCAAGGCATTGATGACTTCATCTTTCATTTGTTTCTTTCCATTTACCTTATGTTCGTATTTGTGTGTTTATGGTTTAGTGGTTTTTTATCTGCTCTTGAAATTCTCACAATTGATTAACTCTTTCAGATGCTAGTTGATGATATTGGTGATGTAACAATCACTAATGATGGTGCTACAATACTCAAGATGTTAGAAGTTGAACATCCAGCTGCCAAGGTAGACAGATGTTGCTGCACTTCTCCCTTTAATTCTTTCTCTATCCAAATTTGACTGTTTGTGTGTCTGTTATCTTCTACTTATATTTCCCTTTTTTTGATCAGTAGCAATCAAATATTTATTGATTATAAAATTACAAGTGTAGGAGTTGTGCCAAACACCCTGATAATTACTTCTCTCTTTGTTGTTGGAGTTCAGGTACTTGTGGAATTGGCTGAGCTCCAAGATCGAGAGGTTGGAGATGGAACAACCTCAGTTGTCATTGTAGCTGCAGAGCTTCTTAAGGTAACATTTAGCTACTGCAGGCTAATCGAAGGGTACAATGCACATTTATTTCTCTGGTTTGTGGGGACGTGCTACCCCCTGTCTTGTGTAGCACCTTTTGGTTTTATCGAAAAATGGGTATAATGTGCATGTGATCAATTTCATTTGTCCTTGTGTTTCTGGCAGACATTTCAAAAAAATTAGCTAGTAATTTATTTTTTTCCCTTAATTTCTGCAGAGAGCAAATGATCTGGTGAGAAATAAGATCCACCCAACATCTATAATCAGTGGATACAGAGTGAGTATCTTTCTTTCTTTCTTGTTTAATTATGAGACATCAATTTCTTTGCCAATTGACATGCGATTGTAATTTTATCAGCATCTGTAGATTGTGGATTTTTGAAAATTTTGTACCCATGGGGTTCTTGTTTTATATGCATATTAATTTGTTTGTTTGTTTGTTTTTTGGCAGCTTGCTATGAGGGAAGCATGCAAATATGTTGATGAGAAGCTGGCCACGAAGGTATGGCTTCCCTAATCAATTTATATTTGGAAAACATGCTACTAGCAGAAAAGACATGAAAAATTTAGATGGGGTTTGCAAAGGAGTGGAGGTAAAAAGTAACTTAGTTTAAATGGTGTACCTTTTGGATGTCTGCAACTCTTCATAAGGATCAAGGTCTGTTTACTGGTCAGTTATTGAATTGCGTCTTTGGTGATTGTTCATTGAACATAGGGAGTTCTAAACTGTTAGTCTTTACCTTTTTCAAAAAAAGTACCAGCTGTTGATTATACTGGGGGGTCAGAAAAAGAGAGGGAGAGAGATAGAACTGGAACTAGACTGAAGAAATTGTTTTCTTTTATGAAATCATTCAAAGTAACAAGTAGGTGGATATTTGTGTTTGAAAAGGAAGTTGAAATCAGAAAGATGCTCAGCTCGTTCTTTTTAGGAGGCAAGGAGTTCACTTGAAAAGTTTGTTTTTTTGTAGCTTGAAGAAAGAGAAAAAATAGAGACCCTACCAATTAATGTATATGTTCTTTTGGGAATCTTTTATTGTTCTATTGGTGATTTCTTCTCACAAAAAAATCTCGTCACTTATCCTGTATGTCTTTCTTCTTTCTAATAATTTTTTTTTCTTTATTACAAAAAATAAAAGGGCACAAACAATATCTTGGAAACTTTTATTTGTTTGTGCATGTGTCTGTCTTTTAGATGTAGTGCTCTACAAATAGCATACAACTAACATGGTGCATGGTTTTTTATTTTAATGATTAAAGATAGTTCATTAAAGAAAAAACTACTTTACCTTTCTCCAAAAAAAAAGATAGTTCATTAAAGAAAAAGAAGATATAGATCAGGTGAGATGATACCACTGAGGGAGAAAAGAAAGCAAAAATAGATCCATCCTTCCCCTATATGGTGCACATATGGGGACATGGCTTACCAACAATTTAACATGTATGTGAGGACTATATGTTCACTACTATATCATGGCTGATCTACAGCCTATGGAGTTTTCTGTATAGTGAATATGGAGGGAGTTGATCCCCCACCCATAGCAAAGTTTCATCAAAATGGTCAAAATTTTATCTTGGATGTGTTTTGACTCATTATGTGGACTTGCATACAGAAGAATCCAATATATTTCTAATCATTGGGGTGCCATTTAACGATTTATAGCTATAGTGTTAAAAACACCCTCTTTCTTTGATAGGTATTAGTAACATCCTTCTCTTGTTTTACTTGATTGTTATTTACGAGTTAATCATGTTTTTATATGATCTATTCTTTTTCAAAATTCAAATGAAGCTTGGAAGTTGTAGCTCAAAAAATATGAGCTTCTTTTTTCTTGGTTGATTAACATGTAAGAATATGCATATCCAGGTTGAAAAGCTGGGAAAGGATTCCCTCATAAACTCTGCCAAGACAAGCATGTCATCCAAATTAATTGATATTGATAGTGACTTCTTCGCTAATTTGGTAAGCCAGTTAGTTGGTTTGATTGTTCTTGTTCTTTGTCTCATCTGTAGTGTAAAATGACTGTCATTTTTAAATTTTAAACAAGTGATTTCCAGCATGTCATTTATGGAGTCATGTTTCCATTCCAATCCATTTTAAGTATCACTGTTTAAATTTCTGCCAGCAGTGAAAGAAATAAAAATGTCAGTGAATATATTCATGAATCCAGAGGGTTTAATTTATTCATTTATTTTACAAATAAGAATTTCATTGAATAGGCCTATAAGGTGGAACACACAAATAAAAAAGAAAAAAAGATACCTTTCATAGTTTTTATCATTCTTCTTACTGTTGTTGACAATTATTTTGTCATGTTTTTTGGTGATGAAATATGGTATATTGTTTTTTTGAATAAATAACTGAATCTATTTCATTGAAATGAATTACCTAACTCCTCACCAAGGTGAGCAATAGTCCAAAGAGTACATTCTCTTCACAAATGGAGCTACAACAGAATAATGATTAGAGCAAGCTTTTACAGATTACAGCCCGGCCCTGGTCAACCTCATTCTAGGTGCAATTCAGATCTCTTACCCACAAGAATCCTTCCCACACCTACCGACATGACACTACAACTGTACATTGGGAACATCTCCCCATGAACGGTAACATGCAAATACGGGAGATGTTCTCAATGTACAGCTGTAGTGAGGTGTGGGTGGGATATCTGAACTGCTCTAGGTGTATCTTGCCACTTTGAACGAGGAGTTGAAATGACGGGGATCAATAAAGCATATCAAAAGAGAACCAAAGCTGCTCCTATGCTCATTTGGCATCATTATGAAGACGTGGCTCCCATATGGGAGCTGGGTTAGCATTGCATCAACTTGGGAAGACCCTAGAGTCTTAAATCCACTTTAGGATGCTCTTTGTGTGGTTAAACTTGCTGCTGGACAGGAGGGCTGACCTCTTTTTTCTTGATAGTTTTATTTTGACCTCATTGATGACAAAGTTTACAATTTCAGTTTTGAGAAATATTTAAAAATTTTCGACTTCATGGAAGCATTACAAAGAATGAATTGCTGCAAAACTACATAAAATGTTAATATTTTTGTTTGGTTATTTACATATTAATGTAGACATGACTACTACTGGAATGCTAAGATAGTAAAAAAAGTAACAAAATGATGGATACGGCAATATTAGTAAAAAAGTTAACAAAATGATGAATACAGCAATGCTAAAGAAGAAAAGTACCCATCATAACCACAGGATACTTTAATATGGGAAACACGCGAAAGTAATTTTGGAAGAGATATCTCTCACTGTCACTAACTTTTGGTATGCTCAGTCTACAAACTCTCTGTCTTTACTCTCCTTTTATGATATTTCCTTAAATATCAATACATGGATTATTTGTTAGGTGTATTTTGATTTTTTGTCTAATTCGTAGATACCCTAGAACCTTCTAAAATGAGAATTTTCGTGGAACTGTTGGGAAATTTTGTGGAGATTGGAAAATGGTTGACTCTTTGCTTATTAATTCCCTAAGCTTGCCAACCATAATTTGTACATATCCTAGAACCTTCTTGTTGTTGCTTTTTTTCTATTAGTAACAGTTCAAGAAATTTTAATGCAAATGAGAGTAGGATACTTGCTTAGCTGAAGTCGGATAGAATTTCCAGATTACCATGTCTGTCCATACATGTTGATGATTCTCTCAGAGGAAGCATACAGGTTAAATATTCTGGAATTCAGCTCTGTTCATATAAAATCAATTTGACTCCATCTCACAGTTCTAGGGTCAAGGATTGGCATCTATGAAACCACCAAAGTCATTTCCTGCAGAAACAATGTTTCCTCATTCCAGGCACACAAGGTTTTATCACCTTGCATATTTAATAGAGTGGGTTGCTGAACTTGTAGGGGATATTGCCAATGAGGGTGAAAAGTTGGTTGCAGATGAGAATTTTGAGGAGAATGTGGTTTTGGAGTTACAAGGGATCAATGAGCATTATAAGGATCTGATTGATTTCAAGAAGATTACTCTAGCAGTGAAACAATTCAGAAGTCGGAAAAAATCGAAATGTTCAGGTTTCGGAAGTTTTTTGCTTGGTTAAAAGGTGGTTTTTTTGGTATTGGTTCGATCAAGTAGGTAAAGAAAACAAAGAAAGTTATAAGAAGAGGTAGAGAGGTTCCTATTTAAATTGTTAGAAGATATCTGTTTGGGGTTTGGTTTCTATGCTTTTAGGATGAGTTGGTAATTTTTTTTTGGTTTGAGTTTGTTGGATTGAAGCTAATATATATATATATATATATATATATATATATATATATATATTGTTTTTTTTTTGTTTCTGTTTAGGTTTGATTGAAAATTTCTGGTTTTTTTCTTGTTTTGGTGAGATTTGTGTCTGCGGTTGGTTCTTTATGTTTGATTGAGTTTTTGGGTTGGTGTTGCAGTTGGAAGTAGGTTTGTTTTCTTTTTTCTCCCGGGTGTCTGGTCACCTTCCTTGTATTATTTATTTTCCTTTTACTAAATTTTATTTTATTGCCTACTAAGGTTATCCGTTGGTTGAAATCCTGTGATCTTTTTAAGGATTTATCAGTTGAAGACATTTATAGAAGTTGGGGTATTGTGGCATCTACTACTACTTCCAAAGCTACGATACAGGAAGTTTGGTCCCTGCCGGCACAACAAAGGGTGAAACTGAACTTTGATGGAAGCTCTATWGGTAATCCAGGCCCATCTGGTATAGGAGGTGTTTTCAGAGATAATGAAGGCAAGATAATGGCTTTGTTTTCAGGTCCAATAGGTGTTGGAGATTCCTTAAGAGT